TTTAATTTATTTGATTTAAAATGTAATTAATTTTAAGATTAAATTAACATTTTTTTATGCAAATATATAAAATAAAAAAAATAACTACTACAAAATAACCTCAAAATAAAGAAAAAAAGTTTCCATACAAAAAGAAAAAGATATAAATTAAGTAAAATATATTTATAAAATAAATAAAAAGTTTTAAAAAGTTTAGACTTATTTTCATTGCTCAACTTATAATTTTTACCACCAAAATACCTTCAAAGATCGAAGTATTTACAAAATTTATACAAAATCAAACTCATTTTTAAAGAGACAAAAAAAATTGAAGAGAAAAAAAGGAAGAGGGTAAATTTGACTTTACCCTCCGTATACTACTTAAGGTTCACCATTAGAACCTCTCAAAAAAATTTTAATGTCTTTTTCTCTCCTCTTTTGCGGCCATATATTGTCCTTAAATAAGACACGCATTAATGAAATGCCTAGATCAAAGCTGAGACGAAACCTATAATATGAACAATTCATAAAGTCAATTGTAATGGGGGAAATTAATAAGCTTCTCGCCTAGACTTGCCTTCTCTTTATCACGGTCAAAAACAACAACAATAACAGTGCAACCTCCACACCATGCATGCTAGTCCCTGTCCTCCTTCAACTACAGTTCTTCATCTCGTGTACAACACAGGCAGCACCATGGCAATTACCACAGGTCGTCTATTTCAATCACCGCCAACCAAAAATGAGTGCAACCCGCTTCGCTGTCGCATATGCACATCAGCACATGAACCCTCATCCACCATCAAAGAAAGTTTTTGATTCCAATGTCCACGCCCACCACCTACCCAGAAGCAAGTTTTTGATTTTTTTTTTTTTATAAGATATTGATTGGTACATTTTCCAGTTGGTTCAACACATTGTACATAACATATTTATTAAAAAATTATTATTATTTAATTTAAAATTAAAGATGAACAAGTTTAATACAGTTATGTATACAACATGTAAAAACTAGTTGAATTGATTGTACTTACTTATGTTATATTTTGATGTCACATGGCATTATAAGTTACAACATGATGTGTTGTTATATAAGTAGTTCTTTTTATTTAAGAATCTACCTATAATATTATATGAATCTATTCATTTAATATATATTATCATTTAATGCCATGTAGGATTGTATAAAATCCTACATGACATTCTAACAATAACATTATCAGTTTTTTTTATTATTATTATTCTTTACTAAGCATAGAAGAAGGGTAATGATTGATTAACAATTTTTATTTTTTGTTAAAAACGTAGAAGATAATTTTAATTTAAATTATATATGTTACGTGTCTCTCTTTTATTGATTTTATTTTAAATTACAAATAAAACTAAATAAATTAAATTAACTTTTATATTTTTCAATATATAATAAGGAATGATAAGGAATGATATAGAGAATGAAAATTAGGGATGAGAATTTAAGACCAATGAGTGGTTTATATTATGTCATATTTTGTTTTAAATTTTAAACAGGGTGATGATATGTGAATAATTTTTTGTAATAATATTTATTTATAATTTTTACATATATTACTAAATAAGTAGATTTATACAATATTAAGGTTCCAGTAGAGTTGTGACACCCTGAATCTTACATGAAGATGAAAGCGCAGTATGAGTAGTATATAAATGTGGAGACCAATTGCTAAAAACAACTTGAGATTAAGTTTTTAAGGGTTCGTGGACCTTAACACAAAGAGTTGTTAGGCTAGCAGATTCAACCTTGGTCATTTTAGTTGGCATAAGAGAGATCATCTCTTTACAAGTATGTGCTCACATTGACTATCATGACCAGTGGTAGAGTGGACCTCATATCACTTGAGGT